GTGTGGGGTGCTTGGGGCTGAGAAGGGGGGATGTGGAGGGGAAGGGAGGAAAAGGGCAAGAGCATATCGGGAGAGAGAGGAGAGAGAGAGAGAAAGAGAGGAAGAGAGAGAGAGAGAGAGAGATGAGAGAGAGAGAGAGAGAGAGGAGAAGAGAAGACTAATGCTTCAGTGCACCATAAACAAACCACGGATATGGTGTCCTGCAACGTTGGAAGTAATAGTGCAATTGCGGATGGGGGAGGGGAGGGGGGAGGGGGGAGGGGTGTATAGTGACCTCCCTGCGTGGGGAGTGGCGCCGGGTGAAAAAGGCATGCCGCGTATGGTGCTGTTAGCGCGTTTGGTGCGTGCGTGCGTGGTATATGTGCGTGTTGTGATGCCTTGCAGTTTTTGTGTGTGTTTGTGTTGTGTGCGGTGGTGAGTACCTTGCAGTTTTTGTGTGTTGTTCTCAACTCAGTGTTTGTGTAATGTATGTATTGTGTGTTTGTGTGTGGTGTGTGTGTGTTTGTATTATATGTATGTATTTAATGCTATTTTGTGTGTGTATTTGTGCGTTGCGTGTGCGTTGTTGGGAAAATCAATGGCCAGTAAGAACTCGAGTTGCTCTAAAAGGAGCTGTCGGCATTCGCGTGAACGAACCTGCTGCAAAGGTGTTCATAAGGTTGTGCGGCGCCGTGTTTGTGTGTGTGTGTGTGTATTGCGTGCGTTGTGCGTGTGTGTGTGTTAAGGTGTCGTGCTGGTTGGGTAGCGTGCGCCAATATTTTCGTGTCTCTTGATCGTTTGCGTGGCGTGTCTACGTGCATTGCGTGCTGGCGTCGAGAACCGAGGTCTCTCGAACGGCCGAACAAGCAGAGGGAGATGGACACGCAGCGGCACCGGCCATAGATTTGCGTTGCCGTGGTGTTGCGTCAAAAAAAGGAAGAGGAGAAGAGAATGGAGGAGGAAGGAGAAAGAGGAGAAAGAGGAGGGGGAGAAATGGAGAAAAGTGAGAAAGAGGAGGAGGCAGAAGGAGAAGAGGGGAGGGAGAAAGTGAAGAGAGTGGGGAGAAGGAGGAGGGGAGGAGGGGGGAATGTTTTGCGGAGAAGGAAGCGTTTGCAAGAATGTGGTTTCGGGAAGGAGGTGTTTTGCACGCTGTGGGGGTGGGGGATGTGTTGGGGTCGGGTGGTAGGGGGGGGAGAGGCTAAGACAGATTGATTGATATTGAGTCGGATAGACCAGCTCTGGTCGACGGAGCGGAGGGCTAGTGTGGCATGCAGACAGCTAGACAGACAGATTGATAGAAGATGTAGATTAGGTAGATAGATAGATAAGATAGATAGAGAGTAGATAGACGACAGACAGATAGATAGATAGACAGATTATAGTAAGACTACAGATAGATAGATAGACAGGACAACAACGGAAGACAGAAGAAGACGACAGACAGAACAGACAGACAGACAGACAGACAGACAGATAGGTAGATAGATAGACATATAGGTAGACAGATATATAGATTGATAGATAGGTAGAAGATAGATAGATAGATAGATAGATAGATAGATAGACAGATAGCATTTGATATATAGGCAAGCAGATCAGATAGGAAGGACACTAGCAGTCAGACCAAACGATTAGAAGACATTATAGATAGGCGGCCAGGCAGCGTTGTAGGTAGTCAGAGACATAGACAGACGCACCACACAATGGTATACGCGACACGCTGACACACACTACACACGACACTCACACATGCAGTATACGCTCACACACACACCACATTTACACACGCTCACACACGTACAACCACAACGTCACACACACACACACACACACAACTACACACACACACACACACACACACACACCACAACAACACAACACACACAACACACTCACACTCACTCACACTCACACTCACACACTCACACTCACACACCAACACTGACACGCTTAGAACTCTCACTCTCTCACTCACTCACCCTCAGCCTTCTCTCTCTCACACCCCACCACCATTAACCACACCCAATCATCTCTCCTCACCACTCAACCAACCTCACCACGCCACTCATCCTACCCCACCCACCTCATCTCATCCTCCACCTCACCCTCATCTCATCTCACCCTCACCCATCATATCCTCACCACCCCCACTCATCCTCACCCACTCATCCTCGCCCACGCCCACGCCCACGCCCACGGCCCACGCCACCCAGAGAAACGGCCGAGTGCGAGACAAAGAGGCGAGCGAAAGAGAGCGCGCGCGCGAGGTGCCACAGTGACACACTCGGGGAAGGTGGTGCGGGCACGGTGTCAGCCACACGCACGCACGCCGGGTGGGGAGGGTGTCCTCTCCCCCTCCCTTCTTCTCTCTCTCTCTCTCTCTCCTCCCTCCGGGGTTTTCTCTCACTTCGCCTTGTTTTCCTTTCTTTCTTCCTTTTCCTTCCTCCTCCTCCTTCTTCCTCCTCTTCCTCTTCCCTCTACTATCCCCTTCCCTCTTTCCCTCTCTACTTCCCTCTTTCCTCCCTCCTTCTCCCTACTCTTCTTCCCTTCCTCTTCCTTCCCCTTCCCCTCCTCCCTCCCCTATTCCTCCCCTCCCTCTCCCTTCTTCCCCTCTCCCTGTCCCTCCACCTCTCCAGCTTAAAAAAAAAAAAAAAAAGAAAAAAAAAGAAAAAAAGGGAAGACAACATAATCATGGAACGGCGAACGCGGATTGCATTTGAGGGCTTCACGCAACTTGCAACTTCCTCGCTCGCCTCGCTCGCTCGCTCGCTGGAGGAGGAGGAGGAGGAGGTGAGGTGGTGAGGAGGGGAAAGGGGAGGGATGAGGTGGAGGTGGAGGTGGAGGAGGGGGGAGGTGGAGGGAAGGGGGAGAGATGAGGTGGAGGAGGAGGAGTAGGAAGATAGATAGAATAGATAGACAGCTGACAGCTGGAGCTGGAGGAGAAGGAGAAGAGAGAGGAACGAATGAGGAGAAGGAGAAAAAGAAAGAATAAGTAAATAAATAGATAAAGAAAGAAAGCAAAGTATAATATGTAATACGTTGCAGAAATTATCTGTTTTGATTGTTTTAAGATGGCCGACGAAGTCACTGATTTTTTTTTTTTTTTTTTTTTTTTTTTTTTTGAGAGAGAGAGATGAAGAGAGAGAGAGAGAGAGAGAGGGAGAGAGAGAGAGAGAGAGAGAGAGAGAGAGAGATATACTAGTGATAGACCCTATTTATCATATATTATATGTGGTGTGTGTGTGTATACATAAATACATACATATATAGATAAATAGATAGATAGAATACATTATATATATTATATGTATATAATATTATAATACAATATACATACATATATTACATACATACATAATACATTACACATACAAAGATAATTAGTCTTTGGTAATGATAACAAATAACGAACACACGACTTAAAAAGCCTGCAGAATTCACGGGAAATGCCGTAAAAAGAAAAAAAGAAAGAAAAAGAAAAAAAAAAAAGGAAAAATAAAAAAGAGAAAAAAAAAAAAAAAGAAAAAAAAGAAGAAAAGAAAGGAAAGAAAGAAAAAAAGAAAAAAAAAAGAAAGAAAAGAAGAAAAAAAAGAAAAAAAGAGAAAAAAGAAAAAAGAAAAGAAAAGAAAAAGAAAAAAAAGGAAAAAGAAAAGAAAGAAAAAAAGAAAAAAAATAAAAATAAAAAAAAGAAAAACGACGCCGCGACTCCTGGCCAATGGCGGCGGCCGGCTTGTGCAAGTGATCGCCGCCGCTGCTCTGCAATTATGATACGATTTTATTACGATTTTATGCATGACGGAACGTGACTCTGATTTGATGGCTCATTTGATGTCCATTAGACAGCTTTTGACCGCATGTTGATTGGGCCGGGTTGAGCGCTGCTGGGTGGGGGAGAGAGGGAGGGGAGGGAGGGGGTGAGAGAGGGAGGGGGTGAGAGAGGGAGAGGAGGGAAGGGAATGCTGGGAAGGGAAGGTAAGGGAAGAAGGGAAGAGAGATGGTGAGAGAGGGAGGGGGAGGGAGGGAGAAAGGCAGACAAGAAGGAGGAGGGGGAGGGAAGGAGAGGATGAGAGGGTTCCCAGCCGGTACTATCGAGGCCGGGTGGGAGTTGGGCAGAACAGAAGCAGTCCAGAACCCATCCGGACAGAACGGACCAGGGCAGACCAGGGCATGGCATGGCAGGGCAAGAACAAGACAGGGGCATGGCAGTGAATGGCAGGCCAGGGCAGGGCATGGCAGGGCAGAACAGAACAGGACAGGGGCATGGCAATGAATGGCAAGGGCAGGGGCATGGCAGTGGCAGTGAATGGCAGGCCAGGGCAGGGCATGGGCAGGGCAGAACAAGACAGGGCATGGCAGTGAATGGCAGGCCAGGGCAGGGGCATGCAGGGCAGAACAAGACAGGGGCATGCAGTGAATGGCAGGCCAGGGCATGGCAGGGCAGGGCAGAACAAGACAGGGGCATGGCAGTGAAATGGCAGGCCAGGGCAGGGGCATGCAGGGCAGAAACAGACAGGGGCATGCAGTGAATGGCAGGCAGGGCAGGGGCATGGCAGGCAGAACAAGACGGGGCATGGCAGTGAATGGCAGGCCAGGGCAAGGGGCATGGCAGGAGCAGGACCAGGGGCAAACAGACATGGCAGGGCAGAACAAACAGGGGCATGGCAAAGTGAATGGCAGGCCAGGGCAGGGGCATGGCAGGGCAGAACAAGACAGGGGCATGGCAGTGAATGGCAGGCCAGGGCAGGGGCATGGCAGGGCAGAACAAGACAGGGGCATGGCAGTGAATGTGCAGGCCGGGGCAGGGGCAATGGCATGGCAGGGCAGAACAAGACAGGGGCATGGCAGTGAATGGCAGGCCGGGGCAGGGGGCATGGCAGGGCAGAACAAGACAGGGGCATGGCAGTGAATGGGCAGGCCAGAGGGCAGGGGGATGGCAGGTAGGCAGAACAAGACAGGGGCATGGCAGTGAATGGCAGGCCAGGGCAGGGGCATGGCAGGGCAGGGCAGAACAAGACAGGGGCATGGCAGTGAAATGGCAGGCCAGGGCAGGGGCATGGAGGGGCAGAACAAGACAGGGGCATGGCAGTGAATGGCAGGCCAGGGCAGGGCATGGCAGGGCAGAACAAGACAGGGGCATGGCAGTGAATGGCAGGCCAGGCAGGGGCATGCAAGGGGGCAAGAAACAAGACAGGGGCATGGCAGTGAATGGCAGGCCAGGGCAGGGGCATGGCAGGCAGAACAAGACAAGGGGCATGGCAGTGAATGGAGGCCAGGGCAGGGGCAATGGCAGGGAGTGGCAGCAGGCAGGGGCATGCAGGGCAAGAAACAAGACAGGGGCAAGGGGATGGCAGGGGCAGGGGAATGGCAGGGCAGGGCAAGACAGGGGCATGGCAGTGAATGGCAGGCCAGGGCAGGGGGCATGGCAGGGCAGAACAAGAGATCAGGGCATGGCAGTGAATGGCAGGCCAGGGCAGGGATGGCAGGGCGAACAAGACAGGGGCATGGCACGAATGGCAGGCCAGGGCAGGGGCATGGCAGGGCAGAACAAGACAGGGGCATGGCAGGGAGTGGCAGGCCCAGGGCAGGGCATGCAGGGCACAAACAGGGGGCATGGCAGGGAATGGCAGGCCAGGGCAGGGGCATGGCAGGGCAGAACAAGACAGGGGCATGGCAGTGAATGGCAGGCCAGGGCAGGGCATGGCAGGGCAGAAAAAGACAGGGGCATGGCAGTGAATGGCAGGCAGGGCAAGGGGCAATGGCAGGCAGAACAAGAGGGGCATGGCAGTGAATGGCAGGCCAGGGCAGGGGCATGGCAGGGCCAGGGGGGCATGGCAGGGAATGGCAGGCCAGGGCAGGGGCAATGGCAGGGCACAAGGGGCATGGCAGTGAATGGGCAGGCCCAGGGCAGGGGCATGGCAGGGCAGGGGCATGGCAGGCAGGGGCATAGGGCAATGGCAAGTGAATGGCAGGCCAGGGCAGGGGCATGGCAGGGTCAGAACAAGACAGGGGCATGGCAGTGAATGGCAAGGCCAGGCAGGGCATGGCAGGGCACAAAGGGCACAGGGGGCAGTGGCAGTGAATGGAGGCCAGGGCAGGGGCATGGCAGGGCAGAAACAAGACAGGGGCATGGCAGTGGCAATGGGCAGGGGCAATGGCAAGGGCAGTGGCAGGGCAGAAACAAGACAGGGGATGGCAGTGAATGGCAGGCAGGGCAGGCATGCAGGCAGGGGCATGGCAGTGAATGGCAGGCCAGGGCAGGGGCATGGCAGGGCAGAACAAGACAGGGGCAGTGGCAGTGAATGCAGGCCAGGGCAGGGGCATGGCAGGAAGGCAGAAAGGCACAAGGGCAAGAGACAGGGGCATGGTAGTGAATGGCAGGCCAGGAGGGGCAGGCAGGGCAGGACAGAACAAGACAGGGGCATGGCGTGAATGGCAGGCCAGGGCAGGGGCATGGCAGGGCAGAACAAGACAGGGGCATGGCAGGTGGCAGGCCAGGCAGGGGCATGCAGGGCATAACAAGACAGGGCAATGGCAGTGAATGGCAGGGCATGGGCAGGGGCAGGACAGACAAGACATGGGCATGGCAGTGAATGGCAGGCCAGGGCAGGGGCATGGCAGGGCAGAACAGCAAAGACAGGGCATGGCAGGGAATGGCAGCCAGGGCAGGGGGCATGGCAGGGCCAGAACAAGACAGGGGTCATGGCGTGAATGGCAGGCCAGGCAGGGCAATGGCAGGGCAGCAGGGATGGCAGTGAATGGCAGGCCAGGGCAGGGCATGGCAGGGCAGAACAAGAACAGGGCATGGCATGAATGGCAAGGAGCAGTGGCAAATGGCATGTGGCAGTAAATGGCAGGCCAGGGCAAGGGCATGGCAGGGCAGAACAAGACAGGGGCATGGCAGGGAGTGGCAGGCCAAGGGCATGGGGCATGGCAGGGCATGGCAGAACAGGGGCAGGGGTGGCAGATGGCATGGCAGGCAAGAACAAGACAGGGGCAGTGGCAGTGAATGGCAGGCAGGGGCAACAGGGCAGGGCACAAGACCATGGCAGGGCAGAGACGGGTAGCGGCGGAGCGGGATTAGAAGGACCTCGAGGAATGTTCCTTGAATAATGTGGCGTCTCACTGTTTTTTTTTTTTTTTTTTTTTTTTTTTTTTTTTTTTTTTTTTTTGTCCTGGCGGCCCGCGTCCTCACAGGGCGGGGGCTACGCAGACTGCACCCACCCCCCTTCTCTCTCTCTCTCTCTCTCTCTCTCGTCTCTCTCTCTCTCTCTCTCTCTCTCTTCTCTCTCTCTCTCTCTCTCTCTCTCTCTATCTATCTATGTATCTATCTCCTCGTAACCATCCTCTTTCTCTCTCTATTTATCTATCTATCTATCTATGTATCTCTCTCTCGATATGTATAATAGTATCAGCGCCACTACCAATTGCTGCTATCATTATTTTTTTCCTCTCGCCTGATTTTACCTCGTCTTTTTTCTTCTTCTTTCTTCTTCTTCTTCGCGAGAAAGAAAAGGAGAAAGAAAGAAAGAAAGGAAGATAGAAGGAGAAAGAAGAAGAAGAAAGAAAGGAAGATAGAAGGAGAAAAGAAGGTAGAGTGAGAGAAAAGAAAAGAAAAAGGAAAATAACGAAAGAAAAAAAAAGGAAAACGAAAGAACGAGAATAAAAAGAAAAACAACGAAAGAAGAACACAAAACAGGAAAATAACGAAAGAAAAAAAAAACGAGAAGAAAAGGAAAACAACAAACGGCACCCCCACCCCCACCCCCCAACGCAACGGGCGCGTGGTGTCGGCGCTGCTCCGATGGGCTAGCGCGAGGAGGCGGCCCTTGCAGCGGCGTAATGTTGATAATTGCCGGCTGAGAGTCTCCTCCCGCGGGCGTCGCCTCCGTGCCGTGCCGTCTGGGGTGGGCGGTGGCGGCTCGGACTCTCGGCGGCGGCGGCGGGGACTGGACCCTGTCGTCTGAGGACCGTCTGGGGAGGAAGGAAGCTTGGGTGGGTGGGTGGATGGGGGAGAAGGGGAAGGGTTGGGTGGGTGGGAGGGTTGGGGGGATGGGAAGGGAAGGGTTTGGTGGGGTTTTGGGAGGGTTGGGGGGTAGGGGAAGGGTGGGGGAAGGTTGGTGGCTGGGAGGGAGGGTGGTGGCTGGGAGGGAGGGTTGGGGGTGGCTGGGAGGGAAGGGAGGGTAGGCAGGGTAAGTGGGAGGGAGGGAGGGAGGGTAGGGCAGGGTAAGTGGGAGGGAGGGAGGGTAGGGCAGGTAAGGGAGGGAGGGAGGGTAGGGGAGTGGGAGGAGGGAGGGAGGGTAGGTAAAGTGGGAGAGAGGGAGGAGGGGTAGGGCAGGGTAAGTGGGAGGGAGGGAGGGAGAGGGTAGGGCAGGGTAAGTGGGAGGAGGGAGGGTAGGGCAGGGTAAGTGGGAGGGAGGGTAAGAAGGGTGTGTTGGGTGTACTCGGAGGGCGGGTGTGGCGGTGGCTGATGGGAAGGGGAGGGGCGGAGATGGGTGGAGGTTGGAGTGGTGTGGGCTGGCGTGTTTTTAAAGTACTACTTAATTGGTTTATGAATTTTGTTCTCTCTCTCCCCCTCCCTCTCCCTCCTCCCTCCCTTTCCTCTCTCTCTCTTTCTGCTCTCTCCCTCCTCCCTCTTCCTTCCATCCCTTCTTCCTCCTCCCTTCCCTCGCAGTGGAATCTCTCCTCCTCTTCTTCTCTCTCCTCTCCTCTCCTCTTCTCTCTCTCTGCTCTCTTCTCTCTCTCTCTCTCTCTCTCTCTCTCTCTCTCTCTTTCTCTCTCTTCTCTCATCTCTCCCTCTCCCTCTCCCTCTCCCTCTCCCTCTTCTCTTTTTCGTTAGTTTTTAATTTGTTTTTTTGTTTATTTATGGATTTACGGGATATTTTGTCATCTTTTTCCCTCTTGTTTTTGTCTGTTTTGGTTCTTTTGTTTTGGTTTCATTTTTTGTTTTGGTTCCTTTTGTTGGTTCTTTTTGTTTTTTGTTTTGTTTTGTTTTGGTTCTTTGTTGTTTTTGTTCTTTTGTTTTGTTCTTTTTTGTTTTTGTTCTTTTTGTTTTGGTTCCTTTTTGTTTTGGTTCTTTTTGTTTTGCTTCTTTTTGTTTTTTTCTTTTTGGTTTTGCTTTTTGTTTTTGGTTCTTTTTGTTTTGGTTTTTTTGTTTTGTTTCTTTTTGTTTTGTTCTTTTGTTTTGGTTCTTTTTTGTTTTGGTTCTTTTGTTTTGTTCTTTGTTTGTTTTGGTTTTTTTGTTTTGTTCTTTTTGTTTGGGTTCTTTTTGTTTTGGGTTCTTTTTGTTTTGTTCTTTTGTTTTGGTTCTTTTTTGTTTTGTTCTTTTGTTTGGGTTCTTTTTGTTTTGGTTCTTTTTGTTTTGGTTCTTTTTGTTTTGGTTCTTTTGTTTTTGTTCTTTTTGTTTTGGTTCTTTTTGTTTTGTTCTTTTTGTTTTGGTTCTTTTTTGTTTGGGGTTCACGAGCTGTTTGTTCATCTGTCGCTTTTTTCATTTGTTTGTTTGTTTAGTCCGCATTTTCTTTTTTTTTCTAAATGGTTAAGCATTTATGTAGAATAGATGCGTATAGATTAAAGAAGGATAGATGTGATACGAAATAGATGATTGATGGATGGGTGTGGGAATAAATTGATTNCAAAATAAAAAAAAAAAACAAAACACATAGAAGAAAAAAAAACACGACACCGGCAAAATTTCCTCAGCATCAGATCACCCAACAACTTTCTCTGTCATTAATATTCACTTGACGAGTCTTCTCCGGCCTTATGAACAAGCATTAAACTTAAGCTAGACGGGATAAACAACCTAAATTATAAGTATGATTCACAGTCAATACTATCCTTATTACCATTCAGCTCCGGTTTGTAACCTTATGCCAGTGTACCCGAACCTCCAATGATATTTTCGAATATAAATACATTAAACAGAAATGTAGGCCATATCATTTATATATATTCTGATTAGATTTACATTTAGTTACCATCATTTTTCCCAGTTGATTATTACGATTGTCTAGACTGACATTATGCAATTGTTGTATTTATTTATTTGCATGTCAACATCTCTGAATATTCTTCTGTTTTATCTCAAAGCCCATAAGTACTTAGGCCTTGTAACGTGTAGAAGTAATCCCGTTAGTTATGATATATCTACAAGTTGCTAAAAACTATTGTTCTTAATAATTGGTCATACATTTTGATAATGAAAAGTAGGTTAGTTATCCATCAAACATCTCATACAGAAATCACTGCTCTGATAATAATGGTAATAATGATAATCCGAACAATATCGTTAGTTATGTGGTGATAATGATAAATGAAAATGTAGTTTATTCGTGGTATATAATGATAATGAAAATATGCTTAGCTTATGTGGTATAATAACGAAAATATGTTAGTTATTGTGGTATTATATGATAATGAAATATGTTAGTTATGTGGTATAATGATATGAAAAATATGTTAGTTTTATGATAGCATTTAATTTATACAGATATTGGATGATTAATAATGCGTATATAGGATGATTTATATGGAATAATGTTAGTTATGAATTAGCTATATATGGATACAAATATTGATGATAATAATGGTATAATGATAATGAAAATAGTATAATGCTTTTGCTAATCGTAGTGATAATGGTAATAATTATCATGGCGATGAATGCTTGTGATAATTATTATAGCGATGGATACTTGTGACGTCAAATACGGTAATAGTGATGATGGTGCGATATTAATGGTGCGCAATGATAATGATAATGATATCAGTGGCAGTGATAATGATAAGGATAATGATGATGGTTTTAATAGTAATGATAACCAAATCATGATAATAATCTTCATGATAATCATAATAATGATATACTAATGAATAAATAAATAAAAATAACAACAAACAATAAAACAACAATATTGATAATCATAGTTATGATAAATGTTAATGACAATAATAATTATGCTAATGATAATGGCAATAGTAGTAATAATAATGATAATAATAATAACAGAAATTAATAATGGTATTGGTAATAATAGTAATAATAAGGATAATGATAGCAACAATAATATAAAGGCCTACAATTATTATATAAATAACGGTGTCAATAATAGTGCTAATAATAATGATAATAATGGTAACTAATATCGTAAATGAGTAAGCAGTGACAACGGTTATGATGATGATGGTTAAATGAAAACGATAATAAAGTAAGGATAGCCATACTATTAGTAACATTGATAATTGAAATAAAGATAAAAATAGATTTGGTCGCCATGCCGTTTGTAAGCTAGAGAACAGAAAAAAATATCGACTTAATCCTCCCCCCCCTCCCAACAAAATAGGAAAAAAGTGACATTTACATTGATGCAGAAACCATCCCTGAAACAAGAGATGAAGTAATCACATAGCTAGGGAGAGGAAAGTATTTGACA